CCCGTGTACACACATTGCATGTCCGCTTGAAGCAAAGATCCTGCTCTGGAGAGGAATTGGGAGGCAGGCAGGAGCAGGGCATCTTCCCAGTTATTCCCACTCCTCACACTCTGTTGTCATCACAGTAGAAGTCCAGCCGTGCAAAGCACAGTGATTGGACCTAGCAAATACAAATCCTCTTGCCTAGGCCCTCCTTGTGCGAGTCAGAAGCAAAGAGAAGGACAGTAAATCACTGCAGAGGTGCCTGCTGAGGCCTCCACTCGTGGTTGCTGGAGCCTCAGCATGGGTTGTGGAGCTTTTACGGTGGAGCCTCTGCCCCTAGCAAACTCCCTGGAGGGTTTCGTGCACACGCCCAAATTCTCCATAAAGACCAGGGATAACACGTAAGGAACTCTGGTGGCATCGTGGACTTCAAGTTGGGCTACTATTAGCAGTTCAGGAGTTTGAACCCACCAGCCCCTCCGTGGGAGAGAGGCGAGACTGTCTGCTCCTGCCGCGAGGCACAGGCTCGGAAACCCACCGGGGTGGTCTGCCCTGCCCTAGAGCGTCGCTGGGGATGGCGGTGAGTTCTTGTCCACATCTTGCAGGGCAGTAACAGTAGTGAAACACACCTCTTTAAAAGCATGGCTGCTTAGTTTCACTGTTCCCTGGGCTCCAAACTGAGAAGCCGCTTAGCCTCCTGGGTAAGAGCATGACCCCTGGAGCCAGGTGTGTGCATTTGGATCTCACCTCTGCCACTGGTCAGCCAGCTCTGTGACCAGTCACCCAACTCCTGTGTCAGTTTCCTCAGGTGCAGGCCGGTGCTCAGCACACTCAGTGAGCTCTGCCGTGAAGGCCCCGCTCAGCACAGGGTCTGAAGTACGTAGCTGGCTTGAGTGTGGTTCTTCTTAGCTTGTTTTAGCAGATGGTGCCCAAAGCCCACGGAAAAGATCAAAGTAGACATCTAGGTATTGAGCGCGTGCAGAAAACCAAAATGTTGTCAGCTGTAGCCCGCCCAATCCACCGCTGACACATCGATTCCAGCCCTAGCCAACCTTGCAGAGGGTCTGAGTCCATGTGGGTGCAGACGACCTCACCTTTCTCCTGTGAGGGTGGCTGGTGGGTTTGAACCGCTGACCTTGCAGCTAGCAGTTTAACACTTAAGGTTACAGTACCACCAGCACTTCTTTTTGGGTTTTTAGATATTGAAACCGATATTGGGGAATGGGTATAATATATGGTGACAGGAGCTAGAAGTTCAATTTATGGAGAGCTTGCCAGCCCTCTTGCCAGGTGATGGGGTTTTATTTCTGTTTGGCCTTTGGCTATGAAAGGAAAAAATAAAATTGCAAAAGTTGATTGTAATTAGAGTTCCCATGAATCTTGGTGGAAGCGATCTTAACTAATATACTAAAGCTGACTGCTCCCCAAACGGCACCCACTGAAATCGTGTGGCCCTGTGAGGCACATGGGATCCTTGGGAGGAACTCAGCGTCACTCTGTGACATTCCTGCATTCCCCAGTAGGCTAACCCATGAGAAACTAGGGCCGGCTTGGTGCCCATGCTTCCCTGACGCAGCCTTGTGCAGAATCAACTCGACATTAGGCTTAGCCAGTTACTCTACCAGTTAGAATGATGGCAGGGTCCATGGTGTACGCCCCAAACAACTTCCTACTTAACCGCAAAGTGGAAGTCACACCCACTGAGCGCTTTGGAGTCCAGGAGGCGTCGTACCAGCTCCGTGAGACCTGGAGGAGACACCATAGTTTTTAGGTGTAGCCAGGGCTTTGGTAGCACAGTGGTCATGCATCAGGTTCATAACCGCAAAGTTAGCAGTTTGAAACTGGTATCCGCTCCACTAGGAAAAGATGAGGCTTTCTGCAAAGTCCTGTAAAGAACTGCAGTCTCAGAAACCCACAGGGCAGTTCCACCCCATCCTACAGGGTCACCACGAGTCGGAGTCAGCTTGATGGCAGCGAGGAGGACTACAGATCTAGAGAACGCCCAACCACCTCCTTTCAAGTGTGGCTAACCGAGGCTTTCTTCTCTCTGTCTGTCCACCCATACAGCTTGTCTCTGAACATGCCTTTGAAATTCCAGACAATGTCCGGCCTGGCCATCTAATTAAAGAGCTCTCTAAAGTGATCCGAGCCATAGAGGTAAGTGCAGAAACGAGCATGGAGGTGCTTGCTTGTTCTCTGCTGGAAGGAGCACATGGTCCCTCTCCTTCCAGCCCCACAGAGAGGCTGCATGCAGAGTAGGTAGAGGAGGAGCTTGTCAGGTGCGTGGGCGGCGCCTGACCCTGGATGCTGAAGGGCAGGGCGGCACGCATGTGCTAGGGAGACGAGCGCTAGGAAGGACCTCATCCAGCAGGGGAGGAAGTCGGCAACACCAGGAAGTCGTCATATAAAAGTGCCAGTTAGGGACTTGGAGGACCGCAAGCCTGTGGGCCCCAGGACCCCGTCACTAACTTACTGGTCCCACTGCTTCTGCCCGAACGCAGTGAGTGCATGCAAAAGAAGGACCCCTCTGCTTGCCCCCCCAAAGCACACGTGGGAGCCTGAGGGGCAGAGCAGCACGGATGGGGACAAGACCAGTGGGGGGGTGGGGGGGGTGGCGGCAAGGGGACACCTTGCGAAGGACATGACCGATGTCAGGTGCTCATGTGGAACCTAGGAGAGGATGTATGCTGCTACCAAGACATCCGTACCCGAGGGGGCTTTAGGAAGCTTATGGAAGGTTCCCACGGTCTCTCCACGGACTTTCTGAAGCCTCCGTGCAAATGTGTTTGCATGTATGTGTATATACACGTCACATCCACACACACACACACCACACACACAGGTGCACCTGCATGGAGACGTGTGTAAAGAACTTTGGAGTGGAGAAAAGCAGCCCTGCTGTCAGAGTTTCAGGGATGATTTCTGAGGATGGGAATCGGGCCGGGAGAGCAGATGTCTGCCCTTACCACGGGCCTGCTAGAAGTTTCCATTTCTAAAGCAACATGTGTATGTGTGCCTTTGATTTTTAAAACACCGTCATTGGCGATTGGTCACAAACGTGCACGTGACAGGTTATCAGGTTAGGAACAGCTGGAAGCTGTCTCTGAGGCCCCTCCCAAGCTGTGCCCACTCCACAGCACCCATGCCCTCATCCCCAGCAGAGAAGGGGGAGAGGCGCCGGGGCCCTGTGGTCTGGAGTGTGGTCTGTGTACACGATAAGGCAGCGGCCTTTGTCTTCTGGAATCTTTTTGTGGTGGATTATTCTGGCAACTGTAGCCCTGCCATAAAAACGCTCCGAATTTAATTCCTAAAGGAGGAAAGCGGCAAACCAGTTAAATCTCAGGGAATTCCTACTGTGTGTCCAGTGTCACGCCCTTCAAATGAAGCATCGTCCCCCTACCACTCCCGGCGGAAGATGCGGAAACTTCGCGATCACACTGTCCGGACTCCTTCGAACCTCGATGTCTTGGAGCTCCACACCAGGGAGGTCCTCAAAAGACTGGAGATGTGTCCGTGGGAAGAGGCAAGTGCTGTGCCCCTAGAGTGCCTCGCTCAGAGTAAGGGGCGCGGCCTGGCCTCCGTGGTTCGCTCTTCACCTTGCCTGTGGGTTGGCCAGTGGGCACGCCTTGGACAGGCGGTGGTGTTGGGGATGGGGGGTGGGGGGGCAATAGATCACGTCTGTTCACTGATGGCTCGCCGCGTGTGTGGCCAGCTATCTACAGGAGAACATTGGCCGAGGTTTGCTCCTGCCAACTGTGCAGTGCTTCCCTGCACAGACGGGCCAGGTGTGTTTGAGGACAGAGGCTCAGGAAGCTCTGCCTTTGTGCCTGCAGGACATCTTGAGCTCTAAAGTGCACAGCAGATTCAACAAACACCTCCAGCCATCTTCCACCGTACCCGACTGGAGAGCAAGAGACAACGACCTGCGCCTACTGCTGACCAACGGAAGGATTGTGAAGTATGTAAAGCAGGGCTCTGCCCCCACTGCCCCCATGCTGGTCTGAGCCTTGCAGCTGACGTTAAGGGGAGTGGGAGACTGCAGGTTGATGGGGGAGGACGGAGTGGCGCCGAGTCCTGTGCTGAGTTACTGTCCCCGTGATGCAGAGATGCGAGGCAGCTCTTCACGGACTCCAGTCTCTATACAGCAGACAGCGAGAGTGAAGAGGACAAGAGAAGGCCCCAGAAGACAAAAGTGAAGAGAGAGGAGCACGCCGGACTCGAGGGGCTGGAGAGTGACGTGTCTCGGACCCCCCGAAACGGTGAGTCTGCTTCCTGGCTGGGGTCCCAAGCTAATTCCACACCGCTCCACCCTGCAAGGTTCTGACAGAGCTGCCCCCCAGTCACATACACCTACCAGTTTCTGGGTCCCATCCATCTCCCATTAATTCAGCTAACGTCCCCATGAGTCTCAGACTTGGGAAGCAGTAGTGGGCGGGCCTGGCACTGTTAGTCACACACCTCTAGTGAGTGCTTTTATTTGGTTGCCCGCTGACACAAATGCCTCTGGATTTTAATGATTGTCATTGAGATCAAACAACAGCCTCTCTCTTTGAGCTCTGTCTTCACTCAGCAACGTCCCTCCCCTTCCATCCCAAGAAGTAGTTAAGGTGAAAGGTTGCAGGTAAGCACTGTTTACTGGCCCAGGTTGACTCCATATGTGCTTGCTGGCTCTGTACCAACACCAGGGCAAGCTGCTAATGGACTGGGAGGGACAGTTGCCTGGACTTGTGTCCTGGAGGGAAAGACAGGCCAAAGCCCTGCTGGGAAGCGAGTTGGCCTCCTGCTGAGTCAGGAGAGCGACCTTCCCTTTTTGAGGAGACCGGGGGTGTCCTCAACTGGAGGCCCTTTGAAGAGAAGTGCCAACCAGCTGTGACCACACTGCGTGCTCTGAGCACAGGCCCCTGTCTGCACCGATGAGCTAGTCAGGGAGAAGGCACAGAGCGGGTGAGGGTGAAGCGGGTGAGCTGGAAGTATCTGCAGCATCTAACAGTGCCTCCTCCCTGCAGGGTTCCTTACGAGGCGCATCAAGTCGGAATACTCAGACATCTCGGACTCTGAAGATTCGGGCCCCGACTGTACTGCACTGGTATGTCCGTGCCGCCTGGGCCACCGCGGCCCCAGAGCCCCTGACTGCTGGAGCCCATCCTGGGCTGTACGTTTTCCCAAACTCGTTTTTGTAGGGGGAGGTGGTCAGTGCGTTTAAGTGCCCATCCCTTTCAACAGTTTCCACACCGCTCTTCATTCTGCTCTGTGCTGCGGGCTGGGGCAGCGACTGCGTTGCTGTGGTGGAGAGAGATCATATCTCAGGGAAGACAGACTAGGTCTCACCGTCACTACGATTCTGACTCTCCCTGATGGGTGAAGCCAGCACCCTTCCCGGTCAGTGAGTGCAGACTTCGGTAACGATGCACCCGCTGCCCTGTCCCCTCAGAAACGCCGTTTCCCCACGGAGGAGTTGGAGAGTTCGGGTGATGAGAAGAAGCAGGAAGTGGCCTCAGACTTCAAGGCGGAGTCTAAGGGGCCGAGGCACTTCCTTCAGAAGACCCCCGAGCCCCCTCGGAGCGAGGCCCTGGTGAAAAGGTAGGCTTGCTCGTGGTGGTGCCTGTCCTCTGGCCAGGCTGTGGCACGTGGAGACCATGTTTTCAGTTCTGCATTTGGCCAGAAGCCTCACCAGAGGAAACGGGTGTCTGCCCCCAGGGAGTGCCCGACCTCGACCCGCACAGAGGAGGAAGCCGTCCAGGGCATGCTGTCCATGGCAGGGCTGCGCTGGGACATCAGTTGGAGAGACGTAGTGGGATGTGACCGGGAGGCCAGGCCACTGTGTCGTGGTGACAAACCTGTGGGATGTGGTAAGGAAGCCCATTCTCAGTCTCTTAAGACAAAACACGGGGCCCAGCTGAACAGCGCTGACACCCTCCTCTAGTCATGGCTACCTGCGGTTAGAAATGGACCTGGGAGTGCTGGCTGGAAACCACACGGCCCCGAGAAGCCGGGTCAGGAGCCAGGGCTCGGGCGTGGCCTGGCAGGCGCTGAGCTGTGGTGCCCGCTGCTCTCTCTTCCCAGCAGAGGAGCTGGTCCCAGGGAAGGAGGGTCTGCTGAGCTGGAGCCGTTCACGCCCTTCCCTCTAAGGGGGAACCTCGTGCTCCCCATCCTCCCGACTTACCAGCCACTGTCAGGAGAGACGTCAGGGCTCCCGGCTCCAAGGTGACCAAGGGGCCTAGAGCCATGGCCCTCTCCACCTCGGGGACAAGAGGTGTCCCTCGAAGTCGGGCAGGATTGGGGAGGAGACAATACTGCATTAAAAACAGACTTTTACCGTGACCAGTGCACATGGAGCGACATACCATTCCACTGACAGGAAACAAATAGCTGCTCACTCTCCTTGCCTACAGAGAAGCCCTGGTAGCGTCGTGGGTCACTCATTGGGCTGCTAACTGCAAGGCCAGCAGTTCGAAATCACCAGGAGCCTCTTGTAAGGAGCTGCTGTCTTGGGAACCCACAGGGGCAGCGCGGCTCTGTCCTATAGGGTCTGCTGCGAGTCGGAATGGACTCGCTGCATGGAGGCTGGTGTTAGTGTTGCTGGCCTACATATGCACTGTTAGCACTGGGCGGTGTTGTATGTGAACTCAGACCCCATGACCCCAAAGCATTGCTTGTGGGACAAGAGGAGACTAAGCGGGTATCGGACTTAAGGAGCCTTGGCAATAGAGGAGCCCAAGTTGAGGCCTGGGTCTGCCTGTTTCTCCAGTACCCCACTCTGTCACCCCTCGATCTTTGCTTCTTTGAAAAGAAAACCTTTTTGGGAATGCAACATGGTCAGGCTGATGTCTGCCTTCATTCTCTGAGGAAGCAGCCCACTTACAGAGAGGATGCACGTGTGCGGCTGGACGTGTGCATAAGCAGGCCACGGCTGGACTCTGGGCTCCAGCATCTAGAGCAGTGGTTCTCAACCTTCCTCATGCTGCGACTCTCTTATACAGTTCCTCGTGTGTTG